TTTAACCGTTAGGCATGGCTCAAAGTGTGCCGGGATAATTGCTGCGAAAGGAGATAATGGATTTTGCGGCGTTGGCTTGGCTTACAACGCAAGGATGGGAGGTAAGACATAAAATTTCGTTCTCTTACTTTTCCATGGCCTCAGTCACAGTAATAAAACACGTTTATGCTGGTCTATAATCGTATTGAGAGCAGCCACCGTGGTGATTGAAAGATAGAACATGGCCTATCTGACCAAACACACTCGTTTAGTCTGCTTGTGATTTCCAACGACGTTCTCGATAACTCGGTCTACGCCCACTGAAAAGAGCACTAAAGTATTAGACTGCAAAACAGTCTACATTTTGCGTATTCAATTACGTGCGAGCAGTTAATATAAATCCTTTTTTCTTCTATCGTGCCCCCCTCTGTCTGAAAACAGGGACTTTAAGATTCAAGGACGCGACGGCAAAGAGAACGTCTAAAAAGCAATAGGTTTAAAAGGGATCAAAAATCCGGATCATTAGGATTTTTCGTCAACAAAAGAAACGATGTATCCAAAAAAGGATTATTTTTTATTCATTTCCATAGAAACGACCCACATTATCTACGGTTACTAACGATGTGGCAAGCTTGCTGATCTTTCATTGTATTCTGACGATTAGCTCAAGGATGCTGGTTTAGACGGGGCAAATGAAGTTGAATCTTGCAATAAGATATGTACTGGAAAAGTCCAGTCTTACAAGACACACCGCCAAAGTTGTGTAGTAGTTTTGTCCTTGTGAACTAGAACAATGCAGGTTCTGTTTGAATTGCGATTTTACCACTCCGATAAAACGGATAAAATGGATCGTTTAATTCATGCGTCGGGTTAAAAAATGGTCGTAAAGATGAGCAGTGTTGTCAAACAGCTGATGTATGTTCTAAAATATTGTTTCGAGTTACCTCTGGCATTATTCACTCTTTTCGGATCCGTAGTAGATAAACGCTTCGGATCATGTATCCAAGGTATCCGGTTTTGGATATGATCCAAAGACTCTACCTCCGTTGAGGATCATTTGGATCAATAACCCGTTTTTGGATTTTAGTCAAGAAACGAAAGATCCGTTTTCGGATTAAAATCCGAAATTGGATTTTAGCAAAGAAACGCACCCTTAATAAGCAAAACAACAACTTTGCACGTGCATCACGCTTTTTTGTACATTTCTTTGCCGTTTTTGCACGACTAGGACGTGAAAATGCCAAATTTCGTGTTTTATTGAGAACGTAATGGTGATCTTACACGGGACCATTAACAACGACGATTTTTAGCGCAACAGAGCCTTGCAATGTTGGAACAATGACTTGTTGTAACTATTCGAATCAATGTTGCAACAATGTTGCTCAACGCTGTGTTGCGCTAAAAAATCGTCGTTGCGAATCGTCTCGTGTAATATCACCTTAAACAAGCAAAGACGAAATTTTATTTCGCTCTCTGAACTTGAATATAGTCCCTTGGAATTTAAAGTCAGGAGGGTTCGCGTACATTTGACAAAGTAAGTAAGAAGGTATAATCGCGATACTGACACTGAAACAACGCAAATTCACTTTTAAGCGGCGTTCTCGTTGCTGTCGCGTCGTTGGATTCTAAATCAACAGAACAGGGCTTGATCTATGGGTAAATGTGAATTACCTCTGATTGTGTTATAGATGCTGGAAAGACCTAAATTATTACGGTTTTGCCCGAGTTCGCCTAGATTTTATAATATTGTCTTCGAACGTTCTATAATGATTTCGGTCAAAAGGTCGGTTGGATTAGTTTCAGTATAGAAACATGAATTGTTGGTATGCAGCCGACGCTACGGAAATCGTAATGATAGTTGACAAGAAACTTATGACAACAAAACCGTTTCCATCCGTTAGAAACTAAATTGTTTTCAATTCAATACTGCAATAAAAAGGTTGATTTCAGAGTTCCGAACAAGGCTTTCCCGTGAAACTGAGTTTGATTTGCATGAGAAATATGCTAAAAAATTATATATTTTCCTTCATATCTAATGAGGTTTCGCAATTAGCCTAGTTGTAAAACAGAGACTTAAGATTTTCTTGTTTTTAGTTGACAACTACTCTGCATTGTTGGTTAATATTTGATTTATTTCAATAAGTTTGCTTCATAATGACAGTCTTAATTCCAATGAAGAAGTTCCTTTTAGCTTTTAACGTGAATGACCACATCTCTCATACAAAGTTTCCCCGGTCAATCTAGTCCTAAAACAAACTTGGAACTTTATTTAAATGCTTCCAGGAATTCGCTTATTCAAAGACCAAATGGCAACTGATATGACGGAAGCAAAGGCTCTAATGTTTAACCGCGACTACATTGATATATACTCCAACAGCTGGGGGCCTGATGATAGAGGTTTTCTAGTAAAAGGACCAGGCAGGGCAACTCAAGCTACACTTGAGGAAGGAGCGAAAGAGGCAAGATGACACTATGCTTTGTTCGTCTTATGATAGAGAGCTTTTAAGCGCCACGTTTACGG